TGAGCAAAAGTAACGAGTAAAAGTACAAGTACTTTGAGCAAAAGTAACGAGAAAAAGTACAAGTACTATGAGCAAAAGTAACGAGTAAAAGTACAAGTACTTTGAGCAAAAGTAACGAGAAAAAGTACAAGTACTTTGAGCAAAAGTAACGAGTAAACAGTAAAAAAGTTTTGATTTTGTAAAGTAACACGTAAAAAGTATATGTTAAAGTACAATTAGAAAACGAACGTGAATAACATGATTAGAAAACAAACATGTTATGATATGACTATATTTACTTGATATTATATATAATAATGATCTCAAAATACTATATTTAAAAAGTAACGACGTACAAACAAAAGCACGCCATTTTTACTTTTACTATCGTTACAAGTAACGAAAGTAAAAGTATTGCCGTGTACGCAATTGACTCAGTTAAAGTGTACACATTTTGTATCTTCCATTTCTCTTATTGGGGGCATTGATAATGGTGATTTGTCTGAGCACTAGTTTGTGAAAAAAGACAAATTTGACTGTTATTTATTATATTGGAGTGATAATCTTCTTACTTCTTGAAATCCACTAACAGTTTGTTTTGTCACTCTTAAATGCATGTTTTCTTATCATATTAATAGAATGAATATAAAATACTTACAAATTGGGGCATTTCGTGTGTATCTGAACTCCTGTGGTGATAATTGAGAACCACAACTGTCATAACTACTGAGAATGCCACCATGATCATGATGCAGGCAAAATAGGTACCTAAAATAACAAATCGGTTGAAAAGGAGTGGTTTAGTTTTATTCTATTCCTACTATTAGTGTCACACTCTCCCTATTATCTAGTTCAAATTTTCAATTGTTCATAAAATACTTTTTATTCATACACTCAAGTTCAAATACCATTTATTTAAACTTGTAGTGGATGACCACTTGATGCTAAAACAGTTTTTTTTTCTTCAAAAATTAATTTATTCATTAAATTTAATAAATGTTAGTTTTATTTTTATATGGGAAAAAATATTGTAATTATTTAATAAAAAATAACTAAAAAAAAATTCTTTGTTGACCTCAGTACGAATTGAATTTTATTTACTTTGTTTTAAATATTACTTGTTTTTAGTGTACACCGAAGAGCTATTATAACCACCCTCCATCTATAACAATGGGCTCGCCCAGGAACAATGTTTTCATGGGGCACATTAGGACCCATAAACCTCATAGAACAATCCCTGACGCCTCTAAACTACTTGAACATAGTTCACCCATTTATGGCAACAGTTTTTCCTGCTGGGGATGGTGTTTACCAACAGGATAATGCAGCATGTCATAAGGGTCGAATCGTCATGGATTGGTTCGAGGAACATTCCAGTGACTTTCAAGTCATGTCTTGGCCCCTTAATTCATCTGACCGTAATCCAATAGAGCATTCGTGGTCCTACTTGGAAAACCAAATTCGTGCTGCCACGCTGCCCCCTAGTGCCGCTGGACCAGTGGGTGAGCGCATGGTACCAGATACCTCAGACTACCTATCAGCACTTTGTGGAATCAATGCCACAGCGGGTGCTAGCAGTTTTGAGGGCTAAAGGTGGTCCTGCATGTTATTAGCAGGGTTGTCATAATGTAATGGCTCTTCGGTGTATAGAGGAGGTAGCATCACTGTAGTATTAAGCATATTTTTGGCAGTATCAGACACATTCCAATCCATAGGAAGAATGGATATTTATCCCAGGAAAATAAATAAAACCATAAAATCAAAATTTATCTATTATCTTTGCAAATATTATTACAAAGAGCATTGTCATACTTTTAAAATCACAAAATAAAAAGGTGATTCGAGAAAGGGAGATCCATCTAGAATTCAAAAAGTAATACTAAAATTGAACTTTTGGTCTGAGGACCGCAGCCCCCAGTTCTATCCAAGTCAAAATTTCTGACGGTTTTCCATTGATAGATCAACATAGTCTTGATGGTAACCATCAATAACTCCATCATCAACCATTATTTTTTTTTGATGCCAAGCAACATAAGTAACCATCACCCCAATGTAGGAATTCGAACTGATTTATGATGGTGCAACATAAAAAAAAATCCGAATTGTTTTGATTGCATATTCCTGCTAAACCAACAAGAACTTCCATTAAACCATCATAGAAATGAACCATTATGAATTTCCATCGTAGTATCCTAGAAATCAAATGTTGGAATGATTATGAACAACCATCATCCCAATTTAGAAATTCGGACTGATTTATGATGGTCCATGATTAAGAAAAAGACAAATTTGTGAGAATTCCCGCTAAACCATCATAGAAATGTATAGTTGGAATTATCATGGACCATGACGGATAGTCATTAATTGTTGGTCAATGATAGCCATACTTCTCTTGATGGTTAACCATCATAGTTTTATAGTAGCATTTTCCCTCGTGGAATGATGGAAGTTGTTAGCATATCAAAAATCATGAGCACTTAATGGAAGTGCTGGATGATGGTAACCATCAAATGAGGTTCAATCGAACTGAACTGAACATCAATCGAACTGAAACCAGCATAAACCATCAAAATTATTTGATCGACCATCAAGAATTTTGACTTGGGTAACGTCAAAAAGAGATGAATTGAAAGTAAAGTGAGCTGTTCTCAACAGACAGTCAGGAGCATATGCAAAGATTGATGGTTGGCGATTTATTGAAAGAAAAAAAAGCCGAAAAAAATGCCACCCCTCCCCCCCAGTGACAAATATTAAGTTTAAAATAATTTGGCTATAGCTAATCGCCAAAAAGGATTGTGAGAATTAGTATAGCCCTGTAACTGAAACATTTTTGTGGTAACGAAATAAAGAATAGAGTTATAAATAGATTTTGATGTTTGATTTTGTTGCGATTGTGAATTAATGAGTTTTAGATTTGTATTGAAATAAAAAATTAGCCATTACACTGATTGTTAGATTGTTAATTTAATAAAAATTTGATTACTAATGATTAAATAAAATAAATTTAAGAACATTTAAAACCTAGGAATTATATAATGCCTATTATGGAGTCAGAACGCGTAAAAATGCATTTTCGAAAACTAATATACTTTTAAGCAACTTTATATTGATAAAGAAGGAAAGGAAATACTTTGTACTAAAGCAAAAAACAGCGTGAAAAAAGCACAAGTAAAAAACAGAAATGGACACACTATAGTTTCTGCTCTATAAACAAGAATCTTCTTCGAATTAGTTTAGACACTGAGTTCCACTTTATAGAAAGAAAGTGTAGTATGATTTTGATAATAGAAACATTTCCATCCAACTATCCGACTGGGATTGACCTATTTTTTTTCTTATTTATTTATTTTTGTTTTTGAAAACAGCCTTGATTAAATTTTAATTTTATTTTTGATAAACGTGGGTTCTAAAAGTATCAATTTACAATTAACGGTAAACATTTATAAAATATTATTTTTTCAAAACAAGCAGCACAAAATTTCGAACACAAAAAATACAATTTTATGTCACAATATCAGCTCTACAAATTGTAGTGCATAATTTCCAGAATGTTTCTGCAACATTGTTTTTTTTTTTAACTGTTTCTTTTTTGTTGTTTGTTCTCTGTTTTTTTAAACCGTTTTTTTGTTCATTTTGCTTGCTGTCCGCTTTTTCATCTGTTTTTTATAAAGTAAAATTTTTAAAAAACTTCAAATACATAATGAATAAGAAATAAGTATAAGGCTCACTATTAATTTTTTACAAAAACGTTCTAAGCATTCTTATCATAAGCGTGACAAAAATAATAATTTCATACTTTGATTTTCAGTTCAAAACATCATTGTACAAAATCTGCATACAAAATTCAAAAGAATTCTAAATTAAAAAATTTTTCGCGATGTGCGTTTGTAAAATTTTTCCTTCTTCTCAAAGTCAGTGTTTTTCTGAAAATGAATTTAAAGCATGTAATAGCCAAAAAAAACATCCATTATTAGCATACGTAAAAAAACTATAACTTCGCTTCTAAAGATGGTATAAAGAAGTTGAACCAAAATTTAGAAAGCTAATAAAAAATGTTCAAATATGGATAAAAGAACTTCCGATTTTCTCTTTTTCGAATATCTTAAAAAACTCTAAAAATATCAATGAAAAATGCATGTTTTTGTGAAATGAGCCGTAAGAATGAAATACGTGTTCGAACGATTCTTTCCCTGCAAAAATGGAATATTTTTACTCATCGACTCAGCTGAGCAAAATCTTTTTATGAGTAAACTTAACTAAAGTATCCATTTCAATATTTTCTTCGAACTTTCGAACAATTCCTCCTAATCACTTTTTAAAGAAAGCAATACATGTACGAGCGTGTAAGACTTATTGTTATTTTGAATGAAAATAGTATTGAATTTCCAAGCTCACGTGACTAGTCTAATGTTTCGTTTCTGTGAGGTGCAAATTGCAGAAATGTTAGTTCAGGTTCAGTTAGTTCGCAACATAAAATTTGTTGAAACCTACTTGAAGAAAAATTACTAAAACTTATAGAATTAAACTTACAAAAGCTTATTGAATAAAACCTACTAAAACTTATTGAATAAAGCTTACTAACTTACTTTTGAATAAATCTTACTACTGATTAAAGCTTACTAACTAATTGAATAAAACTTGTAGTGAATGATACTTGATGTTAATACAGGGTTTTCAAATATTAATTCATTCATTAAATAGGGATGAGCGAAAAACGAAATGGAATTTTTCGATGGGGTAAGCGTTAGTCATCGTTTTAAATTTTACTAGAAGCGATTCAGGTTTTCACATATGTTAAAGATAACATCAGTGATCATTTCTAACTTAAAGAGCTCTATTTGAACAGAAAAATAGTGCATTGCGGACATTTAAATATTTAATTATTTTATATTCGCTGCGTCAGAAAAATTCAATAGAGAGCATTTCGGTCTAGCAAGTGTGGACCACGTCAGCAAATTTATACTTTTACAGTTGTCGGATAACACGCGCCATTTTTTTCATTTCCTACTGTTAGTTCATACTCTCCCTATATCTTGTTTAAATTTTCAATCTTTAATAAAATACTTTTTATTTATCCCACGATTAATTGAGAATGATATTACGACGTTTAATTAAATGTGTAACATTTAAATTGTGTGTATGTGCAGATAAAATTACGCGTATGAGTGTACAAAATGCGTAATATTTAAATATAGCTGTCTTTCTACACTAGTGGACAAAATTAAGAGATGGAAAGCTTTTTCGCACATGCAAGATACCCGCACACCACTCCATGTGTTTATCAATGGTTCCGTGAATGCCTAGAGGTACAGTCAAGAGATCCTAGAGCCCTATGTGTGTCTTTTCAGGGGCGCTGGTGGCCCTGAGTTCATTTTTATGGACGACAATGCGCGATCACATAGGGCTCTCATGGTTAATGAGAATCTGGGAAGCGAGGATATTCAACGAATGGTTTGGCCAGTCAAATCCCCTGACCTGAATCCTATTGAACATGCTTGGGATGCTCTTGGGAGAGCTATTGCGATGCGCCAACCTCTTCCCAGAACCATTCTGGAGTTAGAAATTGCTCTGGTGGAAGAATGGGAGGGTCTTCCACAAGTCCTCCTTAACTCCCTTATTAACAGCATGCATACTCGTTGTGGATGCTGTCTGTCTGTCAGGGGTGACCATATACCACACTAGAGGCAACACACACTGTACAAGCCTCACTTTTATTGTCATCTTTTATTCTTAAGTTCAGATTACATTGGATTTATTGGCAATAGGTCTTGCCAGTGAATGGCACTTTCATTTTTGTTTTACATACTTTATTATCGTGGAATAAGCTATATCCATAGNGCCTCACTTTTATTGTCATCTTTTATCCTTAAGTTCAGACTACATTGGATTTATTGGCAATAGGTCTTGCCAGTGAATGGCACTTTCATTTTTGTTTTGCATTTTTTATTATCATGGAATAAGCTATATCCATAGCAAATTTCATTTATTTATATTCAGTATTTTTTTTAGATATTCGGGAAAATGTCTTCCATCTCTTAATTTTGTCCACCAGTGTATTATAAAAATCAATTCAAAATATTCAGAATGTAATAATTGTTTGTGCATTTATTAAAGAAAAGAAAAAAAGATGAAAATGAGGGGGTGTACCTATTATAGAGACGGCGTCGGAAGTGGGCGGCATAGCCTCTGCCAATTGCAGCATGAACACGGTCAGGGATAGGAGAATGGTTACACCTGTAAAAAAAAAGAACAAATAATTAGAACACGGCTCTACATGGTCTGACTGACATTAATATATTTTTTTAGACATCAAGTAGGTTTATTATGCATCGTTGAACAGCCGACCCAATATTGGGGTTTACGACTACTAATGTTCAACTCCGTAGCCTCGTCATTTTGAACCCAATGCAAAAGACAAAGAAACTCCTGGAACAATACCCCCAGTGGTATTGATTTGTTATGAACATGGAAGACTTTGCGACTTGACAGATTTAACGTGCACCAATCACCATTTACTACACGGGAAGTCTTTTGCCCGGCTGGGATCGAACCCACGAACTCTTGGACTTGGGTCCAGTACACTACCAAGTAGGTTTTAAGGCTACCAATCCCACTTTACTCAGTAATGATTCATTAGATTTTGAATTTGTTTTTGCTTTCCTTCTCGTTTAGATATCAATTCGAGATCCCGAATAGAAGTTTTCATCCCCTTTGAAATATATTAATCTCTTTTCTGTCAAGGAAACTATGACTATTTGAATGTTGAAAGTCACACAAATGCATTTTGAAAATTGGATTATAGTTGACAATTTTCAATAAGGAAAGCTTTAAAAAAAGTTTTCAAAAACTGTATTTAAAGATAGATGAAATGCACAGACATAAGCTGCGAAAGTCAAATAGCTGCATAGATAATAGACTGCAGAGATAAAAAAAAAGCTGATTAAATATAGCTCTCTGAATTTGTGAGAGGGCACCTTCATAGTATAAGAAAGTTTTTTTTTATTCGGAATTTTTATGATATGGACATTAACAAGTATCAATACTCTTGAATTCTTTACGATCTTATCGACACTTGTCAATATGACATTCCCACCCAAGTCAAAATTCTTGATGATTCCAAACAATTTTGACAGTTTATGTTGGTTTCAGTGCTACTCATGACGGTCGAACATCATTTATTGGTCTTCATCCAACATTTTCCATTATGTGTTCATGGTTTTTGATCTGCCAACAAACTTCCATCATCATGATTGACTACTTTAAAACTACGATGGTTAACCATCAAGAGAAGTTTGACTTTCATGGACCAACAATCTCTGATAGTCCATGATGGTTCCAACTATACATTTTCTTGATGGTATATTGGGAATTCTTGTCAGTTCTCAGGAATATATCATCAGAACGATTGGGTTTTTTTATGTTGAACCATTAAAAATCAGCCAGAATTCCTCACATTGAGGGGATGGTGGCTCATGATCATTCCAACATTTGATTTCTAAGATACTATGATGGAAAATCTGATGATTCAACATGAACAAACCATCAAAACAAGTTGCTGTTCTTATGACCATCATAAATTAGTCCGAATTCCTACATGGTTACTTATGTTGGTTACTATCAAGATTATGTTGGTTTATCAATGGAAAACACACACACAAACACACACACACTTATATATATATATATATATACGAAATAATTTTGGATTTACGACTACTTATGCTCAACTCCGTAACCTTGTCATTTTGAAGCAAACCAGAAGACAAGGTGACTCCTGGATCATTACCCGTAGAGGTATGATTTGTTATGGGAACATGGAGGATTTTGTGACTCGTCAGATTTAACGTGCATCAGACACCATTTACTACACGAGGAGTCTTTTCCCGATTGGGATCGAACCCACGACCTCTTTACGTGGGCTCAGTGCCCTACTAACCAGGCTATCCCAGCCCTGTGTGTATGAACAGCAGTATCGACTGAAGACTATTTTTAATCTATTATGTTTGTAGACCTCAGTTGCTTATAGAATTAGCAAAACTGCCATAAATAGATAGAAATATATAACTAACGATACTAATTAGTAAAAGTTTAAATCGAAATTTCGCATCAATCTATGAAATACGGGGAAGTACAGATAGATTATTTTTTGATCGTACCAGGTAGCATTGATAGAATGTTTTAGTAGTATCAGCAAAATTAATGTTTTTCTTGTAGATTCTAAGTATCGATATTTTCTTTTGATATCATGTCAATAGTCCATATTAAAGATTTCCACAGAAATCGAAATTCAGGTAATGCGTAATAAGCATATATGGCAGTACTTTTTTTTTCGTTACTTGTACCACCGGTACAAGTAAAAAGTACATACTTTTACTTGTACTTCGTTACTTTTTAAATTTAGTACTTTTACTTGTACTTCCGTTACTTTTTTAGGGAAAAAGTACAAGTATTTGTAACGGAAATGTAGAATGAAATCGTTACTTTTTTCTAAAACTCGGTAAGCTTTCTAAAAATTACAAAAAAATTTAAAAAAATATGTGAAATATAATACTGCAGTACCTTCTAGTGCTCCCGTGGAGCACTTATTCAGCGTGGCTACGCACGTTCTGAGAAATTCTCGCAGCAGACTCAGTGACACCACTTTCGAAATGCAATTATNCTCGTTACTTTTTTTAAAAATACTTGTACTTTTACTCTTTACTTTTTAAAAGTAACGTTGCCATATATGGTAATAAGTCAGGTAATAAGTGATTCAGTTTTTCACATTATAAAAAGCCCGGGTACTTATACATTTTAAATATTATCACCTGCATTTTATTTATCATACAGCTGTAGTAACAATATCCTTTCTTTAAAAAAATCAATATAAAATATTTTTTTTGACATGTAATACATCCATGTATTTGTTATACAAGTTTTAAAAGACTTTTTCTTGTAAAATAAAGCGCGGTCATCAGAAACTTTTCTCACAAAATTCCTTCGTTTCAAAGACATAACTTCTTTTATCATAAGGCCTAAAAGGATTAAATGAATTGGAATAATTCATTTTTACGTAGCCTAATATTTATTTTCTTTTATATTTCATCGATTTATGGCCATAAAAAAATGATTCGACAGGCGTAACACACACTTGTGTTTCATTCTATTTTTAACGAACGCATGCAATACTCGTTCAATAACAAGATGCTTAAGAAAAGATATCGGAATCTATAAAACAACATTTAAAAGGAAGCGTTACTTGAAACAATTATTTCTACTTGAGAAAATGATTTTGTAATTAGTCACATTTCGTTTTATTCCTCGCCAATTATTATAATTCTTTAGCACAAAGAAAACGGTTTCGATAACTTTTCTCATCACTAATTAAGGATGAGATTTATTCATATCAGGGGAAATATTCGTCACTCAAAAATCAATGACGCTTATGAACTCAAAGTTTTTAATTTTGTATTTAACTTTAATAGGTTCTAATTATTTCCCCCTTTATATCTCTCTGGACCCCGTATCATTCATTTAAAAGACAACCACGTAAAGATTTAATAGGAAATATCTGATTCGCTCTTTTTTTAATTGCCTGGAAATATTTTTCGTCAGATAATTTATTCTTGTATTTGATGACAGTTTCTTAAATTAAGTAGATTGGAATAAATTATTTCAGATTTCTTTCGAAGTCTCTTTTTCTTTTTTCATGAGTGAGTCAGTATTCCATTTTTGTTTAATTTGCAACCAGACCCTGGATAAATTATTAGACGCACTGTAAGATTCTATGAAAAATCTTAATTATCAAGTGATACAATACAGCTTTATTGTTTTTAGGCGACTGAAACCGGTTTGCAGTTGTATCAATGGGTGAAATGAGACGATGTTAGGGTCGAACCAAATGGAAATTTAGTAAGAACGATGTAAAACAGGGTACTCTTGTTTTAATAAAAAATGAGCAACTTCCTGCCACACAGTGGTCAGTTGGAAGAATAGTGGAAATATTTCAAAGTAGGGATGGAAAAATAAGAATTGTAAATTTACGTATGCCTAATGGTAAAATATTCAAGAGAAATGTCAGAGACATTTGTATATTACCGCTTGAATGAAAAAAAAAATGAACCATCGCCACAGCTCTCAATAAATTTGTTTTGTTTGTAACCAGTCGCCTAGAATTACTTATAACCTCTTCATACAGTCCAAGCTATCGACGACCTTATACAACTGATAAGTATAATTTTACATAGAATCTTAGAGTGCATCAAATAATTGGTCAGAGACTGTAGGTTATGTTCCAAGTTTCATTTTTTCAATTTTCATTATTCAATTTAATAAGAAAGCTGAAAAACAAAGCAAAAACACCCAGTTGTTTTTTCGTTGAATTCTATATACAAGTCAGAACATCTAAAATCGAAAACAACGACTGAAATTCCTCTATAGTTTGTCTAAAGTAAGAACTCCTCTAGCCATTCGTCTGGACCCGTTACAATGACTACGGTAACGATGTGTAACTATTTCAAGTAGGGGTGTGGGGTCACTGTGTAGGACTGCTTTAGCCTCGGGTCTGCGCGAGAAAGGGAATATTTTTCTACGGACTATTGTGTTAGTCCTAAAGTGAAGAGAAGCTTCCCTCCCTGAAATGGGCTATTTTTGTTTTCATTGCGGCAGATGGCCTCTGACTTTGCTGTGAGGCAGTTCTTACAATAGACAAACTATATTCACTCTTGTTCAAAAAATATGAATATTGAAACCCATTGACTAACTGCTTTAATTTGAAGCAATAACTGCAGATTTTCTATCTAAACATTTTGTATTTGCACCAAAAATTGTACCAAGGGTTAAATGATTTGATTGTTATAATGTTAATAGCTTAATAATATCTACAATATATTGATAGCTAGGATATTAATAGCTTAAACGATATTTATATGATATTAATAACCTGAATGAATATTTGTTTTTCTTGTTACTAAACTACGACGTATAACATATCTTCGAAAGTTGGACACACACGAGAGAACCTAATTCCGAACCTATCCTTTAAAGAGGCTAGTCCTTCATCCTTGAGTCCATAGTCTACTCCGATGACTTGAGCGGGACTCACATGCGTCCATAAGCTACACGGATGGCTAGACGCATATATGAGCACATAGCAGTCAAAAGGTTAAGTATAAATTTTCACAGGAATTAATAGTGAAAAAGGTTTTAAGTGATGTTTTTATATACAAATAAAATTAAGACTTTTTTTTTCGCTGAAAAATCTAATTTTAGTTTCATTTAACTGAATATTAAGATTATTATTGAGTTTCTAAAAGTCTTATTGAGCAAAAAAGCTCAGTGAATTGTGAACGCCAAATGTTCATAAATTATACTTCAAATGCAAGACGTTGCTGGTTTTTCGTTGTTCCTGAGTCAAAATTTTTGATGGTTCTCCATTGATGGACCAACATAATCCTGATGATAACCATCCATGATTCTCTCATGTACCATTATATTTTTTGATGGTAATCAACAAAAATAACCATCACCTCAATGTAGGAATTCGGACTGATTTATGATGATCCAACATGAGAACAACAACATGTTTTGATGGTTTGTTCATGTTGAATCATCATGAATTTCCACCATAGTGTCTTAGAAGTCCAATGTTGGAACAATCATCATCCCAACGTAGGAATTCGGACTGATTTATGATGGTCCAGCATGAGAACAACAACTCGTTTTGATGGTTTGTTCATGTTGAATCATCATGAATTTCCACCATAGTGTCTTAGAAATCCAATGTTGGAACAATCATCATCCCAATGTAGGAATTCGGATAGATTTATGATGGTCCAGCATGAAAAAAATCCTAAATTGTTTTAATGGTATATTCCTGAGAACCAACAAGAATTATTATTAAACCATCATGGAAATGCATTATTGGACCATCACGAATTCCCATCATAGAATCTTAGTCAAATGTTGTAACGGTCATGAACCACCATCACCCCGATGTAAGAATTCCGACTGATTTGTGATGGTTCAACATAAGAATAGTAACTAGCTTTGATGGTTTGTTCTTGTTGAACCATCATAAATTTCCATCATAGTTTCTTAGAAATAAAATGTTATAACGGTTATGAACAACCATCATCCCAATGAAGGAATTCGGATTGATTTATGATAGTCCAACATAAAAAAAAATTGTTATGATGGTATATTTCTGTTGAACCAACAAGAATTATTACTAAACCATCATATGGAAATGCATTATTTAACCATCACGAATTCCTATTAAACTATCATGAAATGTATAGTTGGAACCATCATATGAACCTTCCTATATTTCGTATTTCATAACATTTAAAGAATTAAAACAAAGTCTAAATTAATGTCGATGACGTAAATTCACAGTATTTATTACACTTATATGTTGAAGGCGCATGTTAATGAAGGCGAATATTTTATTATACTAATTCGAAATAGAGTAGGAGTCTCAAGTTCAGGCGAATTTTTCCCACTCCTAACTTTTCCCCTCTTCGTTTCCATTGCTTATGGCTAAGTTTACGTCTACGTCCCTGGTAACGAAGTTGCGGATATCCTGGCTAAAAGAGGCTGCTCTGAGATGGCAACTACCCACTATGACCTCACTTTTCAAGAGATTTTCTCAGTGACGAAAAATAGAGTCCGGCAGGTCTGGCTCTCCCCTCCTGCCCATCCCTGGTTCTGTAGGAAAAGACTAGGATGTGCATTGGATCTTGAGGCTGACAGACAGGCTCAAACGGCCGCCTCAAGATTTATCAGTGGGCACCTCAAATGCATGACCTTTGAATGCGGCCGCAAAGTCTTCCCAACGTGCACCAAGTACCATCTGATGCCGGCCTCCCCCGATCATGTCCTCGACTGCTTGGGGCTCGCTCTTGCGGATATCCGTGATAGCCCACTTCGGGTGCTTGATTTTGCTAGGGTCCACGGTCTCTTGGATTTGATCTAGCTGTCGCTAGATCCTGAAGGATTGGACACAACACAACATGGCTAAGTTTACTCTTTTTCCACAGTGAAGGCTCAGAGGATAGAGCGTTTGCCTTCCAATGAGGTAAACTGGGTTCGAATCAGAGCAATGGCTAGTCGATATGAATCCCGCATCCGGCTTGCATCGACCACAGTGCTGACGTAAAACAGTCTCAGTGGTAGACGGATCAGTCCCCTTGCCGTTAGACTAACCGTTGGAGGATTTCATGGTTTTTCTCTCAGTTCTCTCATGGTCCTCCACAAATTCAGGTTAGTTCCATGAGAAAGTCATCCACGAAAGCAAACTTTTCTCCATTACTTTATCCAGGAATTCCCATTGTCCTATGTATTGGGTTTAAAATGACAAGGCTACGGAGTTCGTTATTAGTAATCGCAAAGCCCAGAAAAATTGGATCGGCTGTTGAACGACGGTTATAAAATCAGCACGTTTTTGAAAGAAGATGGGATATATACTGACAAGGGGAAACTCGCGAAACCGTGGTAATGTAGAAAAGTTGAGAGAGTGGGGCAATCGCGAAAACTTGAGGCACCTATCCCAGAAAGCATATAACATTACGGCAACCATGACGGAATTTCTTTTTTATTATCAAGAAAGTGTTTGCACTAAAAATCTTTTTTTCAATAAAGCAAAAAAATTGAAGTTTCAAACCTTCATCTTAAGAAGATTAAAAATTATTCGTTTTTAAACTTTTTTAAAAAAGCATTGTCACTTACGATGTTTAGGCTGACGCGACATTAGAGATAGGATCCAATTGCATTGTGCATTAAAATTTCATGACAAGGTGTATTTTTAACTGAGTTTACAAGATATTGCGAAAAAAACTTATAATTACGTAGATTGAAGACTATTTCCACTTTGAGACTAACTTTATTAAAGGATTTTTTCTCAAAATCTTCTCAAAAATAAAACACAAAAACCAGACCACTTGGAATCTCCCCCCCAAAAGCACACATGGTATCAGAGTTCTCGACCTGGAGGCTCCCTGGCCCAAGGTTTTAGTAGACAGGAACGAACTATTCTTGCCCGCTTTCGAAGTGGGCACCTTAAATCAATGAAATTTTCGGAAGGATCCAAGAACTTTGAAATTTTTAACAACTGTTCTTCAGAGCAGGCCTCGTCTCACCCCATCTTCCCGTGCCTAGGGCTCACCCAACCAGGATTTAGCAGATGGAAGGTGTTGAATTTTTTGAGGGTGTATAACGTCATGGACCTGGCCAATTGGGGCGCGCAACAACAACAACAGGGATTTGTTTCCCTCTCGAACACCCTATGTCAACCTCGATTTAAGGTTCTTATATAGAAGTTTGTTTTCTAAGGTTTTGGATGAGGGTAATGTCGGTAGAATAGAGCAAATGGTCACAGATCTCGTTTTAAGGTTAGAAGGTTTGCACTCAAACCGCATAACAAACTTTATTAGGCTTACATTAAAAGGTTTTTGCTAGGTGAAAATAAACCTTATTTTGCTATATCTGGGTATTATACACCGAAGAGCCATTGCATTACGACCACCCTGCTAATAACATGTAGGTCCACCTTTAGCCCTCAAAACTGCTAGCATCCGCCGTGGCATTGATTCCACAAGGTGCTGATAGGTAGACTGAGGTATCTGGTACCAAGCGCTCACCAACTGGTCCCGCAATTCCCTCACATTGTGAGGGGGTAGCGTGGCAGCACGAATTTGGTTTTCCAAGTAGGACCACAAATGCTCAATTGNTAAACATCTGGAACGTTCCTCGACGATTCGACCCTTATGACATGGTGCATTATCCTGTTGGTAAACACCATCTCCCGCAGGAAAAACTGTTGCCATGAATGGGTGAACAACTATGTTCAAGTAGCTTACAGACGTCAGGGATTTTTGTATGAGGATTATGGGTCCTAATGTGCCCCATGAAAACATTGTTCCAGGGCCAGCCAGAAACCATGAAAACCTGGGCTAGCCTATTGTTATAGATGGAGGGTGGTCATAATGAAATGGCTCTTCGGTATATTTACTAACATGTACATATATAGACAGAATGGATAATTACCAAGTGTGAGCTTCTCTCCTGAGTCGGGTGGAAGAGCGAATCCCAGGAGTGCCATCGAAGAGATGAGAACACATGGAATGATGAGGTTGAATCCGTAATATAAAGTCCTCCGCCTGATGTGGATATAGAAGGTGATGTCCACGTAAGGCTCTGGGCAGCAAGCATAAATTATCTCGTTGCGCTTGCCTGGCAGTGCTAAAAAACAAAACAGGCATTAGAAGAAGAAAAATTATTTATTTAAAAAATCGCAGTGAATACTGCAACACAGGGCAGCGATGGCTCTGGGATGGAGCGCTTGCCTTCCAATGAGGTGAACCGGGGTTCCACCCCTGCTCGATAGGAATTCCGCATCCGGCTTGCACTTGACCACAGTTCTGACGTGAAATATCCTCAGTGGTAGATGGATCATGGATTTGAGTCCCCTTGCAGTCTGGCAAACCATGGGAGATTCTCGTGATCTTCCTTTTCCTCTCCATATAACTCAAATGCGGGTTAGTTCGGTCAAAAAAGTCATCCGAGAAGGTAAATTTCTCCTGATACTTGATACAACAGCTTTTTCGTCTTCTGAGTTGGATCCAAAATGACATGGCTACGGAGTTCAACATTAGTAGTCGTAAATCCTAAAAATTGGGTCGGCAGTTCATCGACGTTTATAAAAAATACTGAAACACAGTTTTTAGTTAGAGGATGCGCAAGCAATGCCTCAAAATCTGTTTTCTTCGCTTTTTCGAGTAAAAAAAATTCAAATAAATGATCAGTTACTACAAATAAGTTGCTCCACATTATTCACCTTATTCATAAATTTCAACTTTCAAAACGCTTCAAAAATTACGGGTCCCGCAGTGGACTGATCATAAGGATGCGGTTCTCAGTAGAACACCGAAGTGAAGCATCACTGACACCCGTATTCACCACGCCGAGTTAAATTCAAGAGTAACTCGAGGATCGGAATATCCACGGTTCAGAGTTACTCTCGGATTAACCCTCGCTTTTTATTCTCCAACCGTTTTCAACAGAGGATTTCACAACTCGAGTTTAACTCTTGCAGGAAATATAACGAGGCCTTTGATTGGGCAAGGTAAAACCATGTGACTTTGTANTAATCACGATTACAAGTAATTGATTACTGTAATCAATATTGTAATCATGATTACAGCTGTAATCAAAATATTTGAAAATTGTAATCATGATTACAAGTAATTGATTACTGTAATCAAAAAATGTAATCGATTACATTTTTGGCCAACTCTGCCGGAGAGTCAGAACTGTCGATGAAATCTGCGAGTTTGGCGAAATTTCGGCTGGAGAATAACGTTTCGCACTAAACTCGTGATTTTACTCTTACTCATAGATTACCCGGAGGTAATCTGTGCTGGTGAATACGGACGTGACTGCGGGCAGTAGGCAGATGGGTGACCACTTTGATCAGCCTGCGTAGGGATCGAGGGTGCGCGTTATCGGTCCTCGTTAAACTGTTCTACCGTAAAATGCTTGACTTCGCGCGCAGATCGTTGGTCTGCTAAAGCAGGGGAGCCTCTGCAGAGGATCAAAATTACGATGCTTGTCCTCGGATCATCTTCAGGTATGCTTCCCAGACTGCCGCCAATAGCCCATATTGCAGCTTTAGTGAGACGTAAATAAAATACCTACCATAATTTACATTCCTTTCCTCAAAAGTAAAATTTCTGCGAATTTACTTGGGAATTCTTTTTCAAATATGATCTAGAAATATCTTTTTTTACTAAACTGAGACATTTTTTTTTATAACCGTCGTTGAACAGCCGACCCAAGTTCATGGGTTTACGACTACTAACGTTCAACTTCGTAGCCTTGTAATTTTGAACCAATCCAGAAGACAAGGAAACTCCTGGATCAGTACCCCCAGAGGTATTTATTTGTTGTGGGAACGTGGAGGACTTTGAGACTCGACTGATTTAACGTGCATCAGTCACCATTTACTACACGGGGAGTCTTCGGCCGGCGAGGATCGAATCCACGACCTCTTGGATATGGGCCCAGCGCCCAACCGACCAGGCTATCCCGACCCTAAACTGAGACATTATATTTGTTTGATTTTCATGCAAATAATTTTCTTGGTTAACGTGTAAAGTCGGGATCTGGCAACAAATTTCGATTGCAAAATTTCCGCCGATAGTCAGTATCTGGTTACCATGTTATTCTTTTCTTTGCTGTCTCTGCTTTTGATGACGTCAGAATTGGTTAACCATAATTTCTACTTACCGTTATGTGATTGGTTCTTTTTTTTTAATTTTCATATGTTTATACATAAGCATGTTTTCAAATCGCCAAATCGGTGCTCTAGTTTCTAATTTTTTAAACGGAGAACTTTTTCTGCGGAGGTATAGCCACATTGAATATACCAACAAAGTCAAGTCTTCCCATAATCGATGATAAAAAAAAAACTGCTTACCCTATCCAAAGTATGCTTTAATTGGTATTTTCGAAAACAACAATAATTTAAGGATGAATGTACCGGAACTTGGTTTACAATTTCTCCTTTGTTGGTTTAAATATATTAACTACCATTTTTTAAATGTATCTGAATGTTGAATGCAATGCTAAGGTGAAATAAATAGATTCTTCACATAATTCTTTTAGATTGTTCAACGGCAATTTCGGAGATATATTATGCAACAGTTTTTACAGTGTTTAAAAGAAAGAAGTTAATGCAGCCCGATCTCTATTTCAGAATTCCGATAAAAAGTTCCTCATATGGAAAATTCGTTATATAGAAAATCATCATTTGAAATACTTATACAACACAAAACAGGTTTTAAATTCATAAACACTCGACATAATTCAAATAGCAATTGATGCAGCTTTATCTTGTAAATTATTATCCACTATCGAATTGTTTCAAATGATTTTAACATTTTATCACATGAAGGTTTGGTGATTTCTTCATAATTTCCGTTTTCATCTTCTTTGTCCTCCTCTCAATTTATTGCTGTATTGCTTTTATTTTTCACACTGTCCAAAATATTCGATTCAGTTAATATTTCGGTGGTTGCAGCTTCAGAACCAATAAAAAGAAAATTATTAATCAGTACATTACCGTTCATTTCGTGGTTCTCTCTTAGCTGTACCCGCCTTCTTTTTTTTGATCATCTGTGTCTTGGCAACGAGTAATGATACACTTGCATTGAAATAAAAAGCGCTACATTTATTGAGAATCGAAACATTTGCTCTTTATAGAATTAACAAACAGATTTATTTGTTTAAAAAAAGGATTAGAAATGATTAAATTTAAGAGCTAGGCAATGTGTAATCCCTCTAATGGCCTACTTCTGCTTATTTGTTGTTTTTCAAAATCGGTCTTTTTAAGCTTTATTATAGCTTTGAATACTTTCATTGTTTCTATTTTAAACAAACATTCTCGCGTATGATATGTTCAAATTAAACATTGAACCTTAACAATATATTGTAAATTTAGATTTCAAATATTAACGAGCTATTTTTTTAAAAAAATAAATTGTCTTTTTTTTTTCATTTGGCTTACAGTAGAAAACTTTTTACGAGATTTAAAAGAGATAGTATTGATTGAAATTTTCATTCACTGTTAAAACTGTGATGTTATACCTATCCTAATTTGTTGTTTTTATATTTAATTTTATAACCGTCGTTGAATATAGCTGACCCAAATTTATGGGTTAACAACTACTAATGTTACTACTCCGTAGCCTTGTAATTCCCAATCCAGAAGACAAGGGAACTCCTGGATCAAGTATTGGGAGAAATTTGCCTTCGTGGAGGACTTTTTGATGGAGCTTACCCGCATTTGCGTTACATGGATAGGAAGAGCACGAGAACCTCCCAAGTTTAGCCTGACGGCAAAGGGACTCTAACTCATGATCCGTCTACCACTGAGGATATTTCACGTCAGCAGTGTGGTCGCTGCAAGCCGGATGTGGAATTCGCATCGATTGGGATTCGAACCCGGTTCGCCTGATTAGAAGGTGAACTCTCTATCTCCTGAGCTATTGCTGCTCCATACTGGAAAAAAATATATATATTTAACTCGATCCTCAAAATTACGTCAAAATGAATTTTTCTCAACAGACAGTATTTTTTATTCGATTTCAGTAGTTTTCGTAAGATGAGCCGCATAACCAATTAGAATTGGTTTCAAATAATATAAGCCTGAAATAAACTACCGTTCGCGTAAAATACGCGAAACAATTCATCATAAAAACTTGTTAAAATTTGCATTTGGCTAAGACTTACGGAAATTGGCGATTACCTTTGATATGTGGCTAATTTAATGGCTAATAATTTGAAGTCCATAGCTCGGGTCCTGGTGTTGTTATATCTTAAACTTCCGGGTTCGATTCCCGGCATGGAAACATTTTTGAGTCGCGATGGCTCAGGGGATAGAGCTTTCTCCTTCCAATGTGGTGAACTAGGTTCGAATCCCAGGGATGACTGATCGATACGAGTCCGCATCTGGCTTGCATCGACCACAGTGTTCACGTGAAGTATCCTCAGTGGTAGACGGATCATGGGTTAGAGTCCCTTTGGCATCAGGCCAACCTAGGGACGTTCTCGTGGTCTTACCTCTCCACGTAAACCAAATGCGGGTTAGTTCCATCAAAAAATCCTAAACGAAGACTAAATTTCTCCCAATATTTGATCCAGTCGTCCCCTTGTCTTCTGGATTAGGTTCAAAATGACAAGAATGTAGAGTTGAGCATTAGTAGTCGTAAACCCCCAAAAATTGGGTCGGCTGTTTAACGAAGGTTATAAAATAAAATAAATGATAAAGATTCGATTCGCGTACTCAAGTTAACTAAATTCATGAAATTATTTCGTCAATCTTGGTTAAACTTTCTGACGATCGTCATTTTTTTCGTTTACAAGAATGTGAAATTTTGATTTCGCCTCGCCCGATGCTTTAAAAAAAAGAGTTGTTATAAAAGGTAGTTATAGTTGTATAATAAAGATGTTCTTTTAAGAAGGTGTACTTAAATCTGTCACTTGCATTAAATAATTTGAGAATATTTTCTATCCGTTAATAAACACATTTTATTTTTAGAAACATGAATCCTTAAATTCTTACTTTATGCTGTATCGTAAATAAGCAATGAATCTTTATAAATTTCAAATGACATTACATTTTATAAAAGAAACATGTTTGGTGCAGTAAAAGTATGTCGTTTCACGACACCAATTTGGTGAAAAGTACCATTTTCGGTGTTGAGATGTTTCTTACAGTGTTTAAATTTAAAATAAATTACTGAAAGAAAGAAAGAAATCCAAAGATTTAAAGAACCTTAATAAAGTTATTCCTTTAATCATTATTTCACGTAGACGTCTACTTATTTATTAAACAGAGAATAAATTAATTACAATTGCGTTTCATATGGAATTCTTTATTTTCAAAGAAAATAATAATTAATAGATGAGAAGGAAAATTACACTTTTTTTTATTCCAAAGTTCCTTAGATAAACGCAAACGAGTTTTAAATAAGTTAATTGAAAATAAATATTTATACTAATGGTTTAGACAGTAACTATAACCGTAGACGAAAAAGAATAAAACGAAATGTGTTTATTTATGAACTGAAACATGAATCCTTAAGTAATTTTAGAAACGTGTTTGTTTTGTGAACTTAATATCAACTTCATACTCATTGAGAAATATTAAATTCAATAATAAATTAAGCTCAGTTTCTTAGCCAGGAACATAATTAATATTCTCACACATCACACTATTCTTTCAATTTATTCCAAATTCCGTTTTTTTTATTAGGCAGCTAAAAATTATGCTCATTTCTTATTAGTTGTAACATAATTCCGCACATGTCATTTGATTATTTTGGAATACTGTTTTAGATGATTCGAAAAGGGGTGATTTGTTTTAAGGAGTCGATGTTTTTTCATTTAATTTTCGTAAATATTCAGAGATCAATAAAATGAAAGGAGAATTTTTGATTTCAATCAAGGCTCTAAGGCTGCAAAGGCTGTTCGAGACATTTGTGCTGCGTATGGAAGGGCCATTGTCGAAGGATCACCTAGTGAATGGTAATCTAAACGTTAAAATGTAAATTTTGTCCTCAAAGGCATTCGTCGTTCTGGCTTTCCAGCTGTGACCAGAGAAGAGCAATTATTCACTGACCGGTTTCGTGAAAAAAATGAGCACCTAATTGGGTATACTATAGCCTACGTCACAGGATGTGTTATTCCTACTAAATTTAACTAAAAAACAGCATTTTCTGCGAACCTGATTTTTAGCAACAAGTAAACATTACATGAAGTGTGTTGTTATAAGTCGCTACTCGGCAGGTTGGAATTGTATTAGTCTAGTTCCTTTTGAAATATGAATTTAGTAAACATATTTAGAACTCAGCTTATTAATTAAACTAAAAGGTAAATGTTATTCCTAGTAAGTAGAAGTAGTTGTGTTTTTTTCATATTATACCCAATTGGTAAAATATATTTTCCCGCGAAAATCTCACCAATAGTTTTCTTTCAACGGTGATCACGTGAATCGCATGCCGTGTGAAAGGTCCCTGTGATTGGTTCCAAAGAAATTATTAAAGAATTTATTGACTCATAAAGTGGTGCAAGTCTGAACTGAAATCGTTAAATGGATTTATTTAAGTATCTGCTATAATGTAAATACTCACCGATGAGATCCCACTCTCCGTTCGTGATGTATGTGGAGAGATCCCCACCTTCTTCGTTGGACAGCCGAAGGTCCAGTTGATTCCCGTCATATGTCCAAGAACCGAACTTCATCTCGCACTTCTGGTCATCGAAGGGAAACCACGTGATGTCTATCTTACAAGTACTCTTGAATATCCCAGGTGGAATGTACGTGCAGCTGCCATTGTTACGCACTACAACATTTGTAGGGTGGGTGCCATCAAACTTCTCGTCTGCGCTGAAAGGATCAAGTCATTTCATGAGTTAGATTTAAAAATGCTTTTTTTTATGCTGCACATTTGTTTTCTATTGCATCAATGTATGTACACATCAAATTTCATTAAAATCGGTCCAGTAGTTCTAGAGATAATCGACCCAGTCTGCAAACTCTATTAATTTCCTACACCAATGAATATAATTTAGGATTTAAAACATCTCTTAGAGCAGTGTTTCTTAACCTTTTTGCTATAATGGACCCCTTTTAAAAAATTTTCAAGAAGTCACGGACCACCCCCCTGTGAGAAAAAAAAATAATTGCAAAAAACATCAATTATTAGAAAACATTTGATTTTATTATTTTAATAGTATACAAAATTTTTAAAATTAAAATTTTTAATGTGAAGGTTGCTGCTGCTTTTCCGTAATTAATGAATTTAATTGGGGGATGGTTTTCGACAAAGCAACGTGTATATCATGTTCAACATTCAATCGATTTCGATGTTATATTTTTACTGTCACAAGTGTGGAAAATCCCGCTTCGCAAAGATACACAGTAGCAAACGGAATTATAGCTGCCATAGTTCGATTTACAAGTAATCGGTAGGCTTCCAAACGTTTTAAAAATTAGGAGAAGTCAGCGGACCCCCAAAATATAACTCATGGATCCCTTAGGGGTTCATGAACCACAGATTAAGAAACCCTGTCTTAGAGCAAGTAATCTCGCAAATGAATGTAAATGTTTATCCTCGTAATCAATATTTATTTTTTCTTACGATTATACACATTTCGAGATAATCGAATATCCTGTTTACTGTCCACGAATAATTCTGGTTGTAATTTTATGTTGAGCAGAAAAAAGTAATTTTATATAAATTAAATTATTAAATAGGAGAAAAAGTATTATAAATTATTTTGCATCGCAAATGCACTGTAAAAACAAAAGGAAAGCTAATTGCGAACAAGAATAATTAGTTTAAAAATATTATCCCTTCGATTTCGTACGAAGTAAAAAAAAATTTCCTCTCTTTCTTCTAACTGATTGAAAAACCGATATTAATTAGAATTTTCAAAATGAAAGAAAAAAATTCATTTTATTTCCTAGAATTAATCTACTTGGTCAATCAGTGATTAAAATTCTTAATGGCGACTTATTAACTAATGTATTCCGGTGATTGTTGATATTTTTATTCCATTTTAAAGTGCTTCTTTTATTCATTAACATAATTTTTCCTTTTCGATTGGGTCGACATTTATGATTTCAAAATAGAAAAAAACATTTCTAAGTTATTTTTCTGAGAAATAAAATCTTGTGATGTCTCTGATTTAATAAAAGGAACCTTTAGTCTTAATTAGTTAATTAAATATTTGCAAGAGATCAGTTTATTTTAAGATGAAGTTCGAAAAAGCAATAACACTTTTGAAACAAATCAATTGATTAAAGGGAGAATTGAATAAAGTAATTTACAACTCAAATTTTGACGGAATAATTACACTTAAAATGTTATATTATAAATCTTGATATTAAAACTATTTTCAAAACAGTCTCAATGCTTTAAAAGCAGTATAGTAAAAAAATGCTGTTTTCAAAGCGTTTAACAAAAAATCTTAATCGTTGGAGTGGCTTAAATTATAATTTTTTTAAAATGCACAAACAATATTAGTTTATATGTATTATATATTTTTTTTAATTTTTACAGTTTTTATAATAACATGGTATTTTAACGGAGCGTTTTTGATAAGCTTTATTCATTGTAAGTTTTTTTTGTCTCACACAGAATATAGATAACCAAGCGGTTAAAAAAGCGATCGAGAATCAAAATAGATTTACAATGGAATCTGAACAAATAAAACCCGTCAAAAAGTAATGACTCGAAAGCACGATTTAAAATATTCGACATTTCCTTAATTCCTGAGGGGAAAAAAAGTTCTTTTTTCATTATGCCGCATATCAGCAGTCGGTGGGCCACAGATTGTGCACTCCAAAATATATTTTAAGAAAAAACAAAATCTTCCTGTGAGAGCTCAGGGGATAGAGCATTCGCCTTCCAATGAGGTGATCTGGGTTCGAATCCCAGCGATGTCTGATGGATACGAATTCCGTATCTGGCTTGCACCGACCACAGTGCTGAAGTAAAATATTCTTAGTGGTAAACAGATCATGTGTTACAGTCTTGCCATCAGGCTAACCAAGGGAAGTTCTCGTGGTTTTCTTCACCGTGTATGGCAAATGTGGTTTATTTCCATCAAAAAAGTCATCCATGAAAGCGAATTTCCCCCAATACTTGATCGAGAGTTTACTCGTCTTCTGGATTGGGTTCAAAATTCTAAGGCTAAGGAGTTGAATATTAGTAGTTGTATATCTGATATTGGGTCAGCTGTTCAGAGACGGTTATAAAATAATATAAAATTACAAAATAATATTTGATGAATAGGGAGTCGTGTTGGTTCAGGAGATAGAGCCTTCCTATGAGGTGAACCTAGTTCAAATCTCAGCAGTAGCTTTTCGATACGAATTCCGCACCCGGCTCACACCAACCACAGTGCTGACGAAAAATATGCTCAGCAGTTGACGGATCATGGGTTGGAGTCCCCTTGCAGTCAGACTAAACGTAAAAGGTTTTCGTGGTTTTCTTCTACATGCAACACAAATGCGAATCAGTTCCATCAAAAAATCCTCCACTAAGGCAGATTTCTCGCAATACTTGATCGAGGAGGTTACTTGTCTTCTGGATTGGGTTCAAAATGACAAGGTCATGGAGTTGAACATTATTAACAAAGTAAAATCTGCCAGCGAAAGGCCTTGTACTAAAAATAATATAATAAAAAGTTAAACTTTCTAAATTAAACATTTCTTAAATTGAAAACCGTACGTATTTGCAACTCAGTTCAGAAAAATTCGACTTTAAATCATGTTATCTTTTAATTGATAAATGTAAATTGTGATTATGTATTGATTGACAATAAATTTTAATATAAGGCAAAGAAATACAACAGTTTTGCGATCGAAAGAAATATTAATTTGTAATTAGTGAAATTACTTTCGTGTTTAAAGTAACTTTCCATTAAATGAAATTAGCAAAAACAATTCATTTATTTCATTAAGCAATTTATCAATATTTTTTTCTCGCAGTATTAACGTAGAACAATTTCAGCAGAAAAGAATAAAACGTTTCGCAGTTAAGAGAGTTTTTGCAAAATGGCGATTAGAATTTTTTTCTTTTCTTTCAAACATTGGGTTTCAATCAAAAAAGTGCATACCTAGAGATTCCATTAATTATTTTCAAAATAAGACTTCGGATTTGAAATGATGTTTGAGCATATGCTGTTTAGGGCCTGTCACTATATTATGAGTATATGGGGCTTTCAAATTCGACTATAATTAATTGTTTCGGAACAATTTTGACGCATTTTTGCTTAATTTTGAGAAATCTTTTTTTTTTTTTTACAGTGTGCAAATTATTCGAAAAAACCACGGAGATCATTTAGTCGATTTTCTATTCCACATAACTACGCTTCTCACGTACTTGAAAAATCCTCTGCATCGGGTTACGATTATTTCAAATGAAAAAAAAAATAATCATCACAAATTGAAAAACGTAAATGTTACTGTGAAACGTTTGCAAACTTTATGGTGGCTATGTTTTGAGACTGTTTTTTCGAAGGCCCTGACGTCACATGAAATATTAACGTTTTTTTTCTTTTTTTCTTGCTAACAATACGCTTTTCTTATAGCTGCTGAGAGTTGTTGCAGAAACCTTCCAGTACAGCAGTGGGCCCTGCAAAACTTCGCAGCTTCAGCAGATTTTTTTTTAAACAAAAGAACGACTATAAAAAATTGAAAGCAAAACAAAAAAAAAAANAAAAAAAAAAAAAAAAAAAAAAAAAAAAAAAAAAAAAAAAAAAAAAAAAAAAACTTAGATTAAAGATAAAATAGAAAAAAGAATTCGATCTTTATTTATAAAAAATAAGGAAAAATTCTTTTTAAGAAATTTGATGCCGATGTTTAATTACCTGAGGGGATATGGTAATGAATTTCCCTGAAAGAAACTTTAAAGTGACACAAGTCAACACACTATCCCAGGTAGCAAAAAGATATTATTTAACCTTAGAAATATGCAATATAATACTGTCTTGCTAGAAAACGTAAGAGTCCTATCTTCTAATATTAGAGCTAATATTATATAAGATTAAATAGTGTTCAATCTAACATTCGAACTTTTAAAATTATCATCCATTTCAGTTATCGATGCCATTTACCCATTGATTTTCGTTGTAAGAAATTTTTAAAAACATTTTAAAGTTAAATAATTTAAGTTTCGAATAAGGAATCATTGTTTAATAATTTTTAATTTTTGCATGGTATAGTTTAATTTATTTTCTTTTACATATTTCTTTATATTATATGAAGTTTATTTCTTTTGTACATTTCTTTATAATTTATTTCTTTTGTATATTTATTTATAATATATTTCTTTTATAATAAATTCTCGTTTATTATTTAATTCATCTTCAAAAAAATCTATGTAGAAACTTTTTGTTTTCAACTGCATATGGAAATTGCACGCTCTGAGGGAAAACTGGGAGTTCAATCCTTGCAGCAAATGAAACAACCAGTGTGGATATTCCGCAGGGTTCACTTTAAATCTACCATGGTGGAAAGTCCCCATGTAGATTGTGATGTTTGAAGTTTGAAGAAAGAGAGAAACCTGTGAGATTCATCCCTGTTTTTGTGTAGAACACACATTATTAACTGTTGCAGAACATTTCATAAAAACTTTCATCTAAGCATTTAATGACTGCTTGGAAATATAATTTTAAGTAAATAAAGATCTGCAATTGAACTACTTAACTCAAACTGTATCAAATAGTTCTAAAGTCAAGAAAAAAATATATTATTTATTAACAATCATAAATTTTTAACTTGTGTTATAATATAGTATTATTTAATTAAAGTTTAAATAATAAAAAAAAACTGTTGAATCTAAGATATACTTTGGAGTAAGAGGGAAGAAAATGGATGATATCTGAATTCATTAATATAATTTTATTTAGTATTTCTGTATTGCTAAGTAAATAATGCATGGAATGATATTATAAAACCATTGTTATATGTTTTACTGCTTCACAGCAATACAGAGAATTAAGTAAAACTTTATCACCTAATTATTCTACTACCATCCAAATCTTCCTCTTGCTCACTCCAAAAAATAAAAAGCAATGCAAAATAATAACAGAAAATACAAAATTTAACATTATACAGCATCAAAACTAATGCAAAATAACATTACAGCGAACGGTAGATATTATTAGTTCGCTTAGAATCTAATATTATATAATGCAGAGCAAACAGCGACCTTATGTATCATTCTAATCTTAGAAGTTGTGCAAGATAACGTTAGATTTCATTGATTTTCAGATGTTATCTAAGATTAGGCGCTATTTGGGATTTGTTACAATTATGTTTATTTCTTCCGTGTAATATTCTCATCGGCAAACTCATCGTTTCTTTATGAATTTTTTATGGGGCATCTGTTTTTTTTTTCCTTTTAGGCTGAACTAAATAATAGTTGTATAATTAAACTCAAACAACATAAAGTCTTTGCGAATAACTACTATGTTACATTAAGAATGCTACACAGCGACATTGTTACACTGTGAAAAATTGCATTGTGAAATATTTAAAACATTATTCAGCGTCATTTAATATTATAAAAATTTACGGAAATCATACATTGATAGTTTTAATCTAGGGGGGAAAACTCACCATTCGGTAATTTTTTTAAAAAAAAGTTTCATAACTTTTGAAATATATCAGTCATAATAAATAGCATTGCTGTTGGCATTTTAAAATGACTTTGCACTAGCATTGACTATTTTGTATACGTTAAAATTTAATTGAACTTCAAAATTTCATGTTTCTGGCACGTCTCAAACAATGTTTCTAATAATAACTAGCTTCAAAATTTCCCATAAATGTTTCAAAATAATTTTTTTTTTATCTTAACCGGTGTAAGCATTTCTAGAATGTACGCAGAGGGTATTATTTACAAAAACTACGTTTAAAATATTTTTTTCTGTCAATAATGTGTTTGTCCCAAGAAAATCCGTCATTTTTCTGGCTACTTTTATTTAGTGGTTTATAACCAAAATAGATAGAGCCAGCAATCAATATCTTATGTTAATAGATTGATTAGATACCCTCCTATATGAACATGTCTTGTTTGTTGCATGAATAAAGAACCAATTTTCTGGTTCAAAATCTATTATAAAAAATTTTTCAAGGTGAGTAGGTTTTTGTGTTGTCATTTTTCTGGCTTCTTGAAATCATTAATAACATAAACTACACAGATTAATCTGAGTTATTTTAAGATATCCCGTTGTTTTCTGTAGAATATAAACGTCTTAGGCCAAAATTTGAAATTAAAGTAAAGTTATATGCTATAAAATGGCGCATTTGTCATTATCCTGGCTGTCATTTTCCTGGCTTATGAATGCCAGGACATTGAAGTGTTACCAGAAATTTTGTTTAACTGATAGTACTGTAAAGAGGAAAAGCAAATACAGTACAGAACCCGTTATCCGGAAATCAGAAAACCGGAAAACCAAAAAACCGGAACGAAATTCGATAAATTTTCCCGCAATATTTTTAAATTTTTTTTTTTTCCTCATAAGATTTTAGGATTTTTCTTTCTTTTTTGAANAAAGCAAATATTAACCTAATACCAAGTTTATGTATGATTGTAATATGCTTGGATGTAATCAAAGTCATTTATTTATTTAATGATTGATTATTATACACAATTTTATTCTGTACATATCAGCAACAAATTTTTTTTTTGTTTCTCTCTACAGTGGATAAAAAGAATTAATTTTAGCAAATTATGGTCCATCTAACATAAAGGCATAAGTTGAGTTACTTAATATTTTCTTAAAATGACTGTTTTTTAAAATTCTAAGCTAATATGTCATTTTGTTGGCATTCAAGATTTGGAGAATTTCGATTTTATTTTTTTTTCTCGAGCAAATGTCAATAAACTACACTGCTGTATAAGATATTAATAAATGTAGCTAATGAAGTATACAAAAAAATTTTAGATTATTTTGAAGACTTTAAATTTGAAGAAACTTTTTGGTCCGAATTGTCATGTTTAAAAAGAATCACCCATATACAGTCCCTGAGACAAGTTTCCAAGTTTTTCCGTTAACGAACGTTGTTAAGAAAGAAAATAAGTACCTATTGTACATGAGAACATCCGGCTTCCATATCCTCCAAGGGGGTATTCGAAGATCTTTAACACCCCCGTATTCACTCGCATTCCACCGAAGATTCACGTCCACCCACTCCTACAAACAAAAAACAACATACGTCAATAACTTAAAACAAATAAACATCTCTTTTGTTTTGTCATCTCGGACTGAAAAATGAAAGAGGGAAAATAAAATGCTCTTAAAAAGTATTTTAGATTAAAAAAAGAATCAAACACAATTATACCAGAATTTTTAAGTTAAGTTGAATTTCACATTGCTTCGAAATTTTACTCTTTTAGAAACCTATGCTTTAAAAAGATAGCGCAGCTTTTTTTTTCCTTTTAATAAGCCTTTATAGAATCGAAATAGAAAATAATAAAGTAAATGTCGAAGTTTTCAATTTAATATTTAGATGGGAAAGAAAGAGATAATCGAAATCTGACAAAAATTGTAATTAGTTTGACTGTCAATTCGAACAAAAGGGTACTTCCGGTAAGAGTCTTTCAACACATTTCAGTTTTCTCATCTAATCAAAAACAAGTATTATAAAAAAAAGTTCAATTCCTACTTAGATCAACAAAGAAATATTTTATTTTAGTTGCTCTTAATTAAATAATTAACAATTTTTCCTCCCATATAAAACTAAAATGAATTCATTTAATTTAATGAATGATTTAATATTTGAAAAAACTGCATTAGCATCAAGTGGTCATCCACTACAAGTGGTCATCCACTAGAAGTGTAAAAAAATTTGAACGATTGAAAGTTTGAACAAGATGTATAAATATATAGAGGGAGAGCATGAGCTATAGGAAGTGAAAAAAAAAACTTTTCAATTTTAGTAATCGCTTTTTTCACTAGTGATAAGATAGATTTCGATAGCGTATTGTTTTTCTACTAGTTCAATATGAATTTGTAAACTTCAAATATCTATACTTTTTATTTTTAATTTTTGATAAAGATTCTAAAAGTATGCATGAATGTATGGTGGTTTCTCTGGAATTTCTTACATGTTCATTTCTCTACATTTGATATTCCATTTTTATCATCATCAATAGCTCGACAGCCCAGAGTGGGCCTTGGCCTTCACAAGAATTTTTTTCCTGCCTAATTTCTTTCCCGCCAACGTTTTCCAGTTGATAGTTTTTAAGACCAAAAGGTATTTTTCTACGCCATCTGTCTATCTCAAATTCGGCCTGTCTCTTTTTCGTGTACCAACTGGTTTGGCATTGATATTTCCTTTTGTGGTACGGTCCCGTGGTGAACTGCCCATTTTATTCTTTGTTGTTTCAGGAAGTTAATAATGTCAGGTTCATTACATGAATGATAAATTTCTAAATTTGTTCTTCAAGGACACACATCATTTCTTTTAATTAATCTAAAAATATATTCCATTTTAATGATCTGAGAAATAACTTAAAATAACTCGAAGAAAATAAAATATTGATTCCGGTAGAAAAAAATAATCCTCTTTTGAATAATATAGCACATTATGCCAAAAATATACTGACGTTCAGAATGTTAAATTTTTTCAAAAAAAAAAAGCAAGTACTTAGTGTTGCTGTTGTTTCTAATGCCACTTGCTACACGGGCAAACCTGCTTGGTGAAACCGAGCAAATTTAAGGCAGAGTGTGTATTTCTTGTTTCTCAGAGGCGCCATCTATGACCCAGAATTCGACTTCTGCCACACCATACGTTTATAAGGCGGACTATACTATACATCCATTCATTCATCCGCAGATCGTAACTCTGAGCTGAACGATCGATCTCCAATCCAGTACCCCTAGAGGTATTGATTTGCAAGGGAACATGGAGGCATTTGCGACTCGACAGATTTAACGTGCATCAGTCACTTTACTAGACGGGAGTCTTCGGCTGGCGGGGTTCGAACTCTCGGACTTGGGCCCAACGCCCTACCGACCAGGCTATCCCGGCCGGACAAATACTTAGTTATTAACCCAATGTAAATATTTAAACTTCCAGTAAATTGCAAATTTTTTCATTCAGTTTTTGCGCATCCAAATATTCAAAAAACGAATGGAAAAAAATTTACGAGACATAAGGTTTAATTTAAGTAGAAACTTTCAAAATTCCAACCTATAATCCCGCATGAAGGTTTGCTGCTTATCTTCGCTTAAAATAATTATTACTAGAAAAGTTAAAAATTAGCTTTCAAAGTCAGCAGACAATTTAAACTACAGCGGGTAATCTCCATAGAGAAACAGCAATTAAAATACGGGTAAAGTAATTCAAATAAAAAAATAAGGGTTTGAAGTCTTACTTGGAACTATAACTGGAAACAAAACAATATCAGACTAGTTATCTACAACTTGACGTTTTCATAATTTATTTCTAGTAACTAAATTATAAAAAAATATGTTATGATACGTTATTACAGTGAACTCTCGCTACTACGATATCCAATACAACAATGACTCCTTTTATATCGTGGTCCTGACGGACTTGCATATGAATTAATGTCATGGTCCTCTCAATGTTATGATATTCTCTGAAGCGTTCCTGTGAAACGTTTTTTTCCCCTCCGAATTTCAACCTTATTTTTTCCATTTATTATTCGTTATCAAATAATGTAAAAATCTGATTTTATCATCTTTTGCCATTTTTTCCATCTCTTTTTGACAAGAGAAGACTCACTGCTGACCACCTCAAGAGTTTCCATTCTTAGAATTACCTCCCTCATCTATTAAGAAGTCACAAATGTAACACTCCTATCTGATTTCATTTACTTCATGTTAAAAGCTGATTATGTGTCACAAATCACCACAAGCATCACATTAACACCTAAAAGACAATCTTTTCCATAGCGGGTGGGTGGAGCACCCATTCACAAACGAAATTCATTTTCGTACTTTGGACTCAACACATTCTTTTATGGTTGACTTTACAGTCAGTAAAATGAATAAGCAAACAAAAAGATCAGATTATTTTCAATAAAAAACGTTTTCAGGCATGTCTGCGATCTTGTTTTCTAAATTTATTTCATTGGTATATAATTTAATCCTAATTAACACTCAGAATTATCTTTCTACACAATATATAAATACATTTATGGTTAATACATATATAACATTAAAATTGAAAAAAAAATTTATTGTGTCTCCAAAGTATGTAAGCCCACGATATAACAACATATCCTTCAACAACAATATATTTATTTGGTTCCCAAAATATTGACTTAGCGAGGTTTTACTACGAATAAAATAAAATATGTTACTATTTAATAAACAATGTTATTACTTAAATTGTTTAGCTAAGCTAATTTTTTATTCTCTATTTTATTGCCCTTTCTGATAACACATTTGTATAGTTCTTAAGCCTAACGTTTAGTATTTGAGCCAATAGTGTCAACATTTAAACAATAACCCAACCTTTATCAAACAAAGATGCCTTAACTTAACAATCGCTTCGATCAACCCTTTATTCAAAGTCATGTCTGAGATTGTACTTGTGGATCGGTTTTAATAATGAACTCACCTGAGCTAACGATATTTCACTCAATTTCTGATAAGAAAACGGCTTTTCAATCTTATCATTTCAAAAGACACCCCATATTATATATCGCCCCCCATTTACTGCTTCCATCTCTGCAGTCGTCGTTGCCATCATGTCACTCCTAATAACTGAATTCCTTGGAGAAGACGAGAATGAATGAGGAAATTATCCCTTAAATAATTGCGCTTTCACCACGAGTTTCCTCTATTGAATAGCAATGGATTCCCCTGTTTGTTTATTGGAGGAGGAATAGACGAGGAATATTAATGAAATTCTCCTTTTCATCCTCTTGTTAAACATTACCTTTTGATTATCTTTTTATGAACTTTACGAAATTTAGAGTTCCAACAATATTTATTTTTCATTTCGTGAACAATGATTTAAAATTTGATCTGGGTAGAATTATCGTGGTTATTATAATATTAATATTTCTAAAATCAAAATTAAATAATTCTCTTTTTATGGACTTCTCGAGATTAAGGACGAAATTCAGAGATCGAACAATATTTATTTTTCATTTTGTAAACCAATGATTTAAAAAATTTAATCTACGTAGAATTATCGTTATTATGATATTAATATTTCTAAAATCAAAATGAATTAATTCTCTTTTTATGGACTTCACGAGACTAAGGACGAAATTCAGAGATCGAACAATACTTATTTTTCATTTTGGGAACAATGATTTAAAATTCTATCTAGGTAGAATTATCGTGATTATTACGATATAAACATTTCTAAAGTCAAAATTAATTAAAAGACGAACAAAAATAATTTTCTCTCTCTATAAATAAAGTGAATTTCTGTGGGTGTGTTTGTTCTTTGAAGACTACCATTTAATCGAAATCTATGAAACTTGGCATACAGATAGTTTGAAACACGAGAAAGGTCACTGCGGGGAGAACTATGTCAGTTCTGATCATGGGAGCAATATTGAGTTCACAGTCGTGGTCACACCTGCGTTGGTTTTAGCAGTCGAGTGAATACGTTGTGTGTGATCGAGACTGAGTAGCAACAGCACGTGAATAATATCGCAGTCAAAAGTAGAAGGTCAACTGTTAAAAAGTCTAGAGCGTTTTAAAATAAACGTGAATGAAGATAACAGAATATAGTAGAAAAATAAAAATAAATTATTTTACTTCGAAAAAACGGTAAATTGAAATTAAAAAATGAAAAAATAAGGTTTCAGAGAGCTGTAAATCAGGAGTTAAGTATAAATGAAAGTATGTAGTAATGTAAAGAACTCATGTCGATAATTAGACAGTTGTCATTCATACGAATGAAGCACGACTACCCATCCTCTAAATGAGCAGATGGGCTATTAAATTAATTCCGGTGCTATCAAAATGATATTAAAGTATTAAGTTTGAACAATGCTCCTTGGAAATTATACATTCTTAAACTTTCAGTTAACTGTTAAGTAAATTTACTCGAAAATGGTGAACAATTTTTTCTTAAATATATTTAAAAACAAAAGAGATATACTATACTGTAAAATTTATCGACGCTAATGTAGCGCAGTTGGTTAAGGTATGTAATGCACGCTACTTGTTGGAGAGCTCAAGATAGTGAGTTCGATGCT